TGAGAGGGAGAGAGAGAAAGAGGGGGGGGCGGGTGGCGATAGTGAGAAACAGATTGAGAGACAGAGTACTGAAGATAAAGAGTACTGCCGGATAATTCCAAAATTTATTATATTGAGTGTAATAATGGTTAAATGTTAACAACTATGAGAAACCAAACTTTTTGTAAAATAGACAGCCCTGGGGACATAAAAAAGAAAACATAAATGTTTTGTAAATTAATATCCTGATCAAATTTTCAAAGCCTCTCTTTCACTAAGGATAGCCGCGTGAGGTAGAGAGATCTCCGAAGCAGCACAATCTTTTGGGACATGCTATGTCCCTATGAAAAAGTATTAAAAACAAAAATGTCCAAATAAATTGCTTTATAAACGATCACGCGATGATTTCCGCTTTCAGGTGTACTGACACCCATCCGATTCCACAGAATCGAACCAGCACATTGAATCTTCTTCTTGTTTTTCTTCTTATTTTTCTTCTTCTTGTTTTTCTTTTTCTTGTTCTTCTTATTCTTCTTGTTCTTCTTGTTCTTGTTCTTGTTCTTCTTCTTCTTCTTTTTCTTCTTCTTCTTCTTCTTCTTCTTCTTCTTCTTCTTCTTCTTCTTCCGTATATTTACTATTATGATTATAATTATAGTAGTAGTAGTAGTAGTAGTAGGAGTAGGAGTAGGAGTAGGAGTAGGAGTAGGAGTAGGAGTAGGAGTAGTAGAGTTGTTGTAAATATTAAATGTCTTCTCAGAGGAAGTAAATTAGATAGATTGATCAGACTAGAAAACCTATTTTTCGATTGTGGATGTTCATTCTCCTGCGGTCTACTGCGCAACGGTGGTCTACCGTACGTTCCTCCAGATCAACCACTCATCTAAGCTTCTTCTATCTAGCGTGATTGGCCACAGTGACGACAGGGCTAGTGGATATTTTTTAAAAATCTAAGATGGAGATGTTACAGTTACGGTTTGTGGGTGGGTTGATCTCTTCATATTGTGGTGTCGTCTAGATCAAAGAATTCTGCGGTGGTAAAGTTTATAATTGGCAAGTATGTCGAGCAGCAAGTGACGTGACAGGATTATTTTCGACCAACTGCAACCACCAAAACATTTTAATATGACTAATGACAGTCCCAAGTTTGTATAAACTTGTAGACCTTCAACTGAACCAGTTGTCACACCGGCCCAGCGGTAGACCTTCATTTAAACCAGAAAGATTGCGGTAGACCTTCATCTAAACCGCCACCGATGTCTCTCTGGAACGCTCTTAAACCCATTGTTCATTCTTGCTGAATTTCTTCTTTATAAAAATGCCCCGCAGTACGTACGTCCAATTTCCTGCTCCGTCCGACTCGGGCGATATTTCAGACGTGAATACATGTAGTTGAATGAGTGCGCACGCCACTTTCGCCCGAGGCCAAGTCTCCTACTGATGATTGATGACTCCGCCACTCTCTAGTCGCTGTTCGGTCTTGGGCGATCCCACACTTGACGAGACAATTTGCCCGCATTTTCCCGGCTGCTGGGATCAATCTAGTAAAATGCGTCGTCGTGTGGTCCCGCGTGTGATCTGCCGCTGGTATTCATGTACCAGACAGCATTGGGGAAACTCGGACAAAACAGAAGACGCTTTTAGAAGTAGTGCCAATTTTGGCAGTCAGCGACAACAAAGGAGGGGATGAAAAGATTGGAGAAAAAAAAACTGTCTGAGGGTGAGGGGTGGGGGAGGTTACAGAAGAGTAAAAGTGTATGATGGGTATTTACTTGAACACAAATTACGGTTTTAAAAGAAAAAGTGTGTACTAAAGGGTGATTTTTGGGGGGCGAGGGGAGAGGGGGGATTCCAGAGCTTCATTTTAAAGAGACAATGGAAAGTGGAAAGTAAATTCCTACTCCTTTTGAGGGGGTTGTTTATTATTGCTATCATGGCAATCTGTTGTCTCGTGAATTTCTAGCCAACGAAGTGATATAAGTTGAGAAAATCTGAGGAATTTCATAGGAGTGTTTAATTTTAAAGCATAGAAATTTCTGTAGCTTTTAACAAGAGTATTTATTTTCTGTTTTTATTTCAAGTTAAAAAGAAAGTTTTGCAATATCTTATTCTACGATTGTTAATTCGATGAAGGTGTGGGGACATGTCATCAATTGACACAAATGACACAATAAACAAGACACAACGTCAATTTTCTTGTTACAATGATTTCTAGCATAAGTGTCAAGGTGCGTTTTCCATTTATTAGTTTACACCCCTAGGGGTAAGATATATACCATTTTATAACATATTATATTATATCATATTGTTTATTATATTGTTCATATAATGTATAAATGTGTTGTATATCACATAAACGAAAATTGAAAGAGGAATAAGACACTTCAATCATTTCTTAACACACTTCAGATTTCGAGGTTATAAAGACGCCCCTTAAAAATTAAAGCAGTTGTACATTAGTTCACTGATAGAAATGAGTATTTGATGTGGATATCATTTTTGATAATAATAGTGATCACCTGTTCTCGCATGGACCTTGTTAGATTTAACATTGACTTCCTTGGACGCCATTCCATGTATGTATAAGGCAATCAAAGAGTTTGTCGAATGCCTCTCAGCGTGCTGGCTTTGTTGCCCGTGCTACAAGAGGCTGTCCCATAAATAGTCGATACAGTTCATGCCTGGACTAAAAGCTGACCATGATTCCATGACATCAGTTTCATTGTTTTCGAGAAACTGCCGTGTACAGTAGCATTAGCCATGTGGAAAGGAACACTGTGGTGTAGGATTTGTGCCGATCCACAGTGCGTACTCTATGCTCATTATTGTATAAAATTGGGTAGCTTAAGTTTTTAATCGTCCCTCTCTTCAAATGGCTCCCATACAAA